CACACACGCTTTTAGAGAGAGAGAGAGAGAGAGAGAGAGACACACACACACACACACACTAAAGGTAAATTTGCTTCTCTCTGTGACTCAACTCTCTGAGCAGTGACTGAGGTATGCAGAACGTGTGTACAGAAGCCTGCATACATAACAGCTGCTTGCTCTGGGAATCAAACAAATGGAACAAATACTTGGAAAGCCTGATGCTCCCTTCCATGTAAAGTAAGGGCTCCACAGCTGCCTCAGCAAGAGTCCCTATGCTGGGCGCAGCCACATGTGCTCTTGAATCCTCACCTGTTGTGACTCTGTTAAAGGTGATGGCTTCAGACACTCTCCCTCCCAGGGCCATGCACATCCTCTCGAACAGCTGCTCCTTGGTGTAGAGGTATTGGTCCTTGGGGAGGATCTGAGAAAATCCTAGAACTGCATTTGTTCGAGGGGCTATGGAAACCTGCAGCACACAGTGTCAGTCTCAGAGAACAGCAGGGGCTACAAAGAAATCATCCTTGTGGGAGAGCAGAGGTGTTCAGAGTCCCACTTGAACTTAGGTTTGCAAAAAGGCACAGGGCACTTTAAACTCATCTCTGTTACAGACTTTACAAAGAGTGAGGACTACTGTACCCTGGCAGCATTCCCACACTGAAGAACCTGTGACATTAAGAGGAGGGAAGGTTGGGAAAAAAAAAGGAAGCCACTTTGTGTAGCAGACAACTAGCCAATGAATCCCTGAATATCCCAAAAATACTGGCCAAGTTCAAATTGCTGTGCTCTTCTGGCATGTCCCACTAAAGCCAGCAAAACACCCAGAATAAGTAAAATGAGGAGACTTGGCTCTATATACTGTGAGCTTCATTTCCCATCATTTAAAGGCAGCTGCTTCTTGTTGGGAGCAAAGTACATCTGTTGGAAGGAGGCCTATCCACACGCACATGTGGCAATGTGCAGCATTCAAAAAAGGGGCTTGTGAAATAAATAGGCAAACTTGATGACCCTGCTTCAGTGTACATGGAGGGCTGTGGTCACCAAACACGTTCAGTATGACTTTGCACTGAGCTTTTGAATGCAAGACACCTGCTGAAGATGATCAACTAGCTTAACAGCACAAAGGGCAATCCATCAACATTATTAATGGAGTCTGATAATGGATCTCTTAACAGCGTACTTGGCTACTTCACAGCAGTGTTACTGTATCCAGCTTCACAGAAAGGACAGGGTGACACAGGGGTTTAACAAAGCAAGCTGAAAGGTGAGCAACATGCAACAGAGCACAGAACCCAACTCTCCAGCAGACAGACAGGTTACCTTCATCACAGCGTCTGTGTGTTCCAGCAGCCAGCCCACCAGTACGTGGCCCGACTCATGAATGGCCACAACCCGGCGCTCCTCCTTTGATAGGATCTTACTCTTTTTGGCAGTACCTGTGGGAGCAGAAACAAGTCTCTGATTTATGCTTGTGACCAGCACAGAGGTATTAAAGTTCACTCTTTTCCAGCTCCTTGTACAAGCCAGCCCAAGCACAGCACAGCAGTTAGAGAGTCTGCTCATCTCCACCGCTCCATCTCTTGTCCAGATAGGAGAGGGAATACCACTTAAATTACATGCTGGCAAAGTGGTGCCCTCTATCATCTCAACAGTTCACCAGCTGAGAGCATATTACAAATCCAAATTCTCAAGAGCAGTGCCTGGGCAGCAGCTTGGACTGAAGCAGGAGACATTTTCAGCAGAGGTCTCTAATTTCGTGTCACAAAGGGCTGAGCTGAATTTTGATTTAACCGATTCCCCCATGTCTAATGATTAAGGAGAGTTCCAAGAGTCAGACCTATATTCTGTTCCCAGCCTTGCTACAGACTCGCTGTGTAAAGCCGCAGCCAAATGACAACTTTTTCTGTGTCTTCAGATCCCCAGATGAAAATTAAAGACACAGAACCCCATTGGCAGGGCCTTTATGTTCTTAGACAGAAGGCAGAGAAGTGCAAGATGTTCCTATTATCCACTTAGTTAAAAGAGTCTCCAGCTGAGGAGTGGGTATATTACAAACATTCAAATCAGAACAAGATAAAGACTACATGCAAAAACATTCTACTGCAAATCTAAGAAGTCTTCCATTCTGGTTATATAGGGCAGAGTGAGCCCACACAGCCTAGGAAGGAGCTTGTACTAATTAAGTTACAATTTACACTAAGGACATCTCCCATCAAAGTAGGGGGGGGAAAAAAAGATAATTTTTGAACATGTTAATTTTCCAGCTCAGCAGCCCATTAACATGGAATGAGCCTAATTAGGTATCTGAAAAGCTGCTGAATAGGAGTCTAGCTTGTACCATGCATGTTGGAAATATGCTGGCTACAGAGCACTATGAGCCCCAACAGCTTGTTACCATGTGTGGTGTATGTGGGATACAAAAAGGTGCCAGTACTGGAAAGTGGAAGCCTCTGCAGGGGACAGAGCGGGCACAGCAGAGAACAGCACCACATCAGGTTTGCCTGATGCCTTGGAGAAAAAGACATTGTTAAAAATTAACGTTAATAGAAAGTCAAGAGCTTTATGAAACCAGGAAACTGCAAATTACATTCCAGTGTTTTGTACTATTACTGCTCAGGGACCTCGAACAACAGCTACACCACAAAGGCATGGTGGGGATGGAACAGCAGTATCAATCACAGCAGCCTCAATTTTAATCAGAGTAAGTCAGACCCTTAATCTTCTTGTAGCATGGGCTGGGTTTGCTTTTTAAATTCTGGCATTTGCTCGCCAGCCCACCAGGGAGAGAGGCTGGACTCTGCAACAGCACAGAGTGTACCTGCTAAGCTGTTTCCTCCTCCGAATACAGCCTGCCTCATCCAGGAGAGTCCCTGAGGGCTTGTTTTCATCTCTGTTTAGGAGTCAAAGGCCCCTAGGACACTGCTCCAATGCAGAGCTAGGGGGTCTTCCACAGGGGAAAGGAATAAGCAGGCTCTGTAGGAGGCTCAGCTGATCTCTCTACTGACATCCTCCAAAGGGAACCTGTCAGACCCCCCTCTGGCCACTCACTATGCAATTTCTGGCAGGCAAGCCTGAGACTGCTCCCTGTTTCCAGGGAGGAAGATGTGATAGCAGCTGCCACAAAAATAGCTCTTTTACCGCCTCTTTCATACAGAGGGGATAAGGCAGATGTGGATTTCAGTGCCTGCAAAGTCTCCTCCTTTGATTCACCTTCATAAACAAGCC